TGCTCTGGCGGTCTCAGCTTCCAGTTCTCCTCCGCAGCCTCCTCCCGTGGAGTCTCCCGGGGTCTCAGGTACCCCTCCTTCTGGCCCTTGTCCGCTGTATGCTCACCTTCTTGCTTCTTTTTTCTAATTTCTGCTAGAATCTTTCTTTTCTGCAGAGACACTCTGTCTGGTGGTGTTTCTCATCCGCCATCTTGATCCACCTCCCTCGAAATTGATAAATTTTGACATATATATGGACTCACCCATGAAACTATTATTACAGTCAGGATAATGAACTTGAAAATGAACTCTGTAATTCCTCTCTCCATTCTTCCCCTGTGTCCTGTCCTGAAGAAACCACTGATCCAGTTCCATCCAAATTGCTACAAAAGACATTATTTTATTCCTTTTTAGGGCTGAGTAGTACTCCATGGTATACACATACCACATTTTATCAATCCACTCATATATCGATGGGCACTTGGGTTGATTCCACATCTTTGAGACTGTGAATTGTGTAGCACTAAACATTCTAGTGAAAGTGTCTTTTTTATAAAATGATTTTTTTTTCCTTTGGGTAAATGCCCATTAGTGGGATTGCCAGATCAAATGATAAGTCTACTTTTAGTTCTTTGAGATATCTCCATACTGTTTTCCATAGCGATAGTTTGCAGTCCCACCCACACTGTATAAGTGTTACCTATTGTAATGAGCAGGGGGAGGGGCTGCAGCTCCCATTCAGCCCCGTGTGCACAAGGCACTTGGTTGCCATGGAACCAGGAGCTAGGCTGTCTCTCTCCGGCTGCCACACCCCTATCCAATCTGGCAGTTCTCCAGTGTTGTGGGGTGGACATGCTCACAGATTTCCATTCCTCAGCATCCCACCACATTCTCCTATGAGGTATGTTCACTAGGACTTCCTCACTCCACCCGACTCCCGGTCTGAGACCTCTCCCCTTGAATTAGCTTCTCTTAAACTTGAAATCAGGAAGGTTAAACTCTGTTACTTCCAAAGTATATGACCTGGGCCAGATTACACATGGGTTCTGAGCCTTCATTTCCTCATATGAAAAAGGTGGATAATCACACCTGTCCTACTTATCCTTACTGTGAGAATTAAATGTAATTGTGTATGTGAGAGCATTTTTGGAAACTAAAACTCTGAACAGATGTGAACTGTGATCTTTACTTAGTTATCTCCTTTGTTGGAGCTTTGGTTGTGCATCCCCATTTCTGTATCGGTCAGATCTGTGTTTCCTGTTTTCATATTCTTTATTGGTTATTCCATCCTCTCGCCTCCCTTATCTTTTTCAACTCCCTGGCCTTTCTCTGGTCCATCTCAAATGGATCTGGATCTTAGGTCTTCCTGTGGCAAATAGAAGGCCACTTTCTTTCAGAGGGGGTCATTTAGTCAGTGTAATCTGAACAGCCCTGCTGAGCTATTATACTTGTTTTACTCTTTTTTTCTTTGAACTTTTATGCTTTTGTTTTTAAAAAACAATTCATGCTCATTGAATTAAGGTAATTGGTAGAGAAAGTTAAAAACAAAATAAATAAAAAGGTTGATAATCTCTCCCAACAAGTAGCCGATCTTAAGGTTAATATATACCCTTCTATGTTTTTTCTTATTCTTTCCAAAACATTTTTTATAATTTTTTCCCATTTAAACAATATACACATATATATTTTCCTTCCTCTTTTGTAAATGAAAATGAAGTCCATGAGATCTTATATATTACTCTGCAAACTAACTTTTCTTTAACTTAATAATGTCTCATTATTTATATTCTAAGTCAGTACATAAATGTCAGATTTATTCTTCTTTAATAGCAGCATAATATCTATAATATGGAGGTACTAAATTGAACTTTTGCACTGTTGATGAGCATTCACTTTGTTTTCAGATATTTTGCTATTATAACAATTCTGTATTAGTCTTTTTTTTTTTTTTTTTTTTTTTTTTTTTGAGACAGAGTCTCGCTTTGTTGCCTAGGCTAGAGTGAGTGCCGTGGCGTCAGCCTAGCTCACAGCAACCTCAATCTCCTGGGCTCAAGCGGTCCTTCTGTCTCAGCCTCCCAAGTAGCTGGGACTACAGGCATGAGCCACCATGCCCGGCTAATTTTTTCTATATATATATTAGTTGGCCAATTAGTTTCTTTCTATTTATAGTAGAGACGGGGTCTCGCTCTTGCTCAGGCTGGTTTCGAACTCCCGACCTCGAGCAATCTGCCCGCCTCGGCCTCCCAGAGTGCTAGGATTACAGGCGTGAGCCACCGCGCCCAGCCTGTATTAGTCTTATTATATACCTTTATACTGGTTCTTTTGTTTCTATCAGATAAATTCCTAAAGTTAGGATTTCCAGGTCAAGCATATGGCACACTTCAAATATTACCAGGTACTGACAGTTAAATTTGTAAAAAGGTATAGCACTTTGCTTCCCAGAAGTGCTGTGAGAATACTAGCTGCCGACCTGCCCTATTCCCACCTCATTTTCTTACTTTTGGGGCATTTAAATTAAAATGACTTTTAAGCTATCCTTTAAAAAAATAACATAATAATGGCCAACAAGAATATGAAAAAATGCTTGACATCGTCACTAATCATTATGAAAATGCAAACCAAAATCATAGTGAGATACCATGTCATATCCATTAGTAGGATGGCTACTATTAAAAAATAACAAGTGTTGGTGAGAACGTAGAGAAGTAGAAATGCTTGTGCATTCTTGGTGGGAGTGTAAAATGGTGCAACTGCCATGGAAAACTATGGTCATTATTCAAAACATTAGACATAGAACTACCATATTGTATTAGTCCATTTTTGCACTGCTATAAAGGAATACCTGAGACTTGGGTGATTTATAAAGAAAAGAGATTTATGTGGCTCACAGTTCTGCAGGATGTACCAGATGCATTGTACCAGCATCTGTTTCTGGTAAGAGATTCAGGGAGCTTCCAATCAAGGCAGAAGGCAAAGGGGAAGCAGATATGTCACATGGTACGAGAGAAAGAGTAAGAGAGGGAGAAGGAGGAGCCAGGCTTGTTTTAACAACCAGCTTCTGTGTGAACTAAGAAAGTGAGAACACACTATCATGGGAAAGACACCAAGCCATTCACGAGGGATCTGCTCCCATGACCTGGGCCCCATATACAACACTGGGGAACAAAGTTCAACATGAGATTTGGAGGGGCCAAATATCTAAACCATATCACATATGACCCAGAAATTATCCTTCTCAATATGAATCCAAAAGAATTGAAAGCAGAATATCAAAGAGAGATCTGCACACTCATGTTCATAGTAGCACTATTTACAATAGCCAAGAAGTAGAAGCAACCCGAGTGCCAACACCTATCACATAATGGGAGCTCAATGATTGTATGAAATCTAATTATTTTTTATAAGCTATTTTTTTCTTATCAGAGTTTTTTTTAAATTGTGATAAAAGAAAAAGCTTTGAACAAAATTTATCATCTTAACCATGTCTAAATGTATAGCTATTGTCCATCGATAGATGAATGGATCTCAGTGTGGGGGTGTGGACATGCTCACAGATCTCCATTCCTCAGCACCCTCCCACACTCCCCCATGGTATACATATACTGTACATGGAACTATTATCCAGTCTTAAAAAGGAAGGAAATTCTGACACATGCTACACATGGATGAATCTTGAGGACATTATGTTAAATGAAGTATGCCAGTCACAAAAGATAAATACTGTATGATTCCACTTATATGAAGTATCTAGAAAAGTCAAATTCATAGAAATGGTAGTTGCCAGGGGCTGGAGGAGGGAGAAATGGGAAGTTGTGTAATGGCTGCAGGTTTACAAGGTAAAAGAGCTCTGGAGGTTGGTTGGACAACAATGTGAATATACTTAACAGCAAATAACTATACATTTAGACATGGTTAAGATGGTAAATTTTGTTAAAAGCTTTTCTTTTACCACAATTAAAAAAAAAAAACTCTGAAAAGAAAAAAAAAAGCTTATGAAAAAAATAATTAGATTTAATTCAATCATTGAGCTCCCATTATGTGATAGGTGTTGGCACTTTCTGTATATCATTTAATCTTTATATTAACTATACAACAGCTGTTGAATCGATGTTTATTAGATGAAAAAGTGGCTATGCTGTTTTAGGAAAAAGTGAACCAGTACAGAGGACATTACTGATTTTTATTGGAGGATTCTGATACCCAGTGGCTATTGCTACCTGTAACACAAAGCCCTTCAGAGCAGGTTAAATTAACAATCATATTTTTGATGCTTCTTCTAGACTTTAATGAGAACTGATGGTAAAAGTTTCAGTTTAAGAAATAATCTGAACCAGGCTTAAGGTGATTCATAACAGGAGTGACAGTGTGTTTGGAGATCAGTGATCAATGAAGCTCAACAGGGAATACTGAGACATTGTACTTAAATAGAAATAATATATTGCAGTCACATCTCTGATGACATGGTCTTCACCAAACACTCCTACTTTTTTTCCTTGCCTCCTTCAAAATGTTAGATAATCTTTTTCTCTATTTTCTTTTTTCTTGATTAGTCACAACCCCCCCTCCCCCTTTTCTGGACTTCAATTTGTATGCCTGTCTATTTTGTCTTGTAAAATCCTTGTAGCAACTTGGAGACTGATTACTGACAGTTGAGAGGCTGGAATAAAAGGAAAGAAACATTCAGAATAGGAAATGCATTTGAGATTATTCTTCAGATGAGTTAAATTAGCCTCAAAGGGAATTAATGGCTTTGAAGGCTGAAGTTGTTAATTGGAAAAAAGTTATAATCCTGCTGAATTAAACCAGGATTGAAGATGAAAGGTCCTAGACCCATAAATTGTTTGAGAGCTGGAGTCTTACCGTGCTTTTACAGTGATCATGTCTTTTAGTATATTTCAAAGAGTAGTGAACGAAAACAGAAGTTTTCTGTTTAATGTAACATAAAGGAACTGGGGCTCCCAAGGTTGCTGCATGCCCTTCCAAGTAGTATGAATGGAGTCACACTGTCTTTTTCTCTTTAGGCACTTGGCAGACAGAACTGCTGAGCTGGAGCGAGTGAACAGAATCAACCACGGCTTACAGGAGGACTGGGAAAGGAGTGCTGCGATGAAGAAGCAGCGGGACATGGAGGAAAAGGCTTTTGAGAGGTAATGGCCAAAGTTCCCTGGTGTTTCTTGTATACTTTCCTCAAATACTGGGGTGCAGATAGGTTTCAAGTGCTAACTGCAGTTGATTAGTAATGGCTGCCTAGAGAACTTTGTGGAGAAAGCAATTCTGTGTTCAGTGGGAACTACTGATGGGATTGATTAGAAATGTCTGTTGTATGCTATGTATTTACCAACCCTGCCCTAATCTTTGTCTCTGTTTAGGGTAGTTTTTTTTTTCTTTATGTAGACGATGGGGATTCTCTTTGGAAATAATTATTTGGAAGTAGGGAGAGTGAGTTTCTGATCTGAACACTTCCAAGCCTTAAAGAATGGTCATTGAGAGCAGGGTCAAACGGTCGTGGGTAAGATGGGCAGTTGGAAAAGTGAGATGCTAATTATGGAACCAATCAAGAACATCTTTCTGAAACTTATTGTTATATCCCTGCCCCTTCTCCTCAGCTATGTGTTTATAATCTGGAGTTAGGGAATTTAGGTTTTGGTCCTGGCTTTGATAATTCACACTAACTTTGGAGAGGAAGCTAATCTTTTTGTCTTATTTTTCTTATTTGTAAAATGGGAAAGTAAACACTTGCATGACCAAGCTAACTTGGGAATTTTAGGGGTTAAATAGAGATAGGAAAGTATTACACTTTGCAAAAATTCAAATACTTTACAAATGTAAGGTATGATTTCAAAGAATGTTAAAAATTTGATGAATGAGGCTGGGTGCTTGGCTCATACCTGTAATCCTAGCACTTTGGGAGGCTGAGGTGGGAGGATCGCTTGAGGTCAAGAGTTTGAGACCAGCCTGAGCAAAATCAAGAGCGAGACTCCGTCTCTACAAAAAATTAGAAAAATTAGCTGGGAGTGGTGGCACGTGCCTTGTTCCAGCCACATGGAAGGCTGAGGCAGGAGGATGGCTTAAGCCCAGGAGCTTGAGGTTGCAATGAGCTATGATGACACCACTGCACTCTAGCCCAGGTGACAGAGTAAGACCCTGTCTCAAAAAAATTTTTTTTTCTGATGAATGAGACCAAGTCTATACAATCAAATTATTAAAATGTGAATATACCAAAATAATAGCTTAAATTGCCAATTATCAGCTCATTTTTATCATGGATAAAATTTGTTATAATGGATCTTGATTTGTAACTCTCATTTTCCTTTTAGGTTTTCTTGTAAGACATCTTACCTGTTTTTCTAATGGGTAGAACCCATATTTTGTGACAATGAAAGTATGAGGGATGACATGGAAAATAGGTTCCAAAGGAGAAGTGGGGTCATTTGGCCTAGAGAAGAGGAAGAGAAAGGGGAATTGGGGATTTCAAGCCATTTTCTCAGTATTGTGGGAAAGCAGATAAAAGGTAGTGAGATTAATGCCAGGGAGATTTTAGTTGGATTTAGGAAGTGTGCCTGGCCAATATGGTGACAAGGGATAGGGGAGACACAAGAAATAATCTTAAAGGGCAGGCTAACCAATCTGCTTCAGGGGCACAGTGGAGCAGACCTGTTGCCTGGGGGTAGGCTAGTAGTGGGCAGGGACTCAAACAGGCAGCAGGTAGGAAGAAGGAATTAGTTGGCAAAATGCAAAAGCAAAAACAAGTTTCACATGTATGCAGTTAGCACATGATACTCTGTCCCATTACCACGGGAAGCCAGGTAGGTCTTTCCCTGCTCACTTCCAAGGCTGTGTATTCTTTCTTTTTTTATTTTATTTTTTTTATTTTTATTTTTTTTGTTTTTGAGACAGAGTCTTGCTTTGTTGTCCAGGCTAGAGTGAGTGCTGTGGCGTCAGCCTAGCTCACAGCAACCTCACACTCCTGGGCTCGAGGGATCCTTCTGCCTCAGCCTCCCGAGTAGCTGGGACTACAGGCATGCGCCACCATGCTCGGCTAATTTTTTTTTTTTTTCTTTTCAGTTGGCCAATTAATTTCTTTCTATTTATAGTAGAGACGGGGTCTCGCTCTTGCTCAGGCTGGTTTTGAACTCCTGACCTTGAGCAATCCGCCCGCCTCAGCCTCCCAGAGAGCTAGGATTACAGGCGTGAGCCACCGCGCCCGGCCTCTTTCTTTTTTTAAAGACTGCTGTGGATACTTCTTTCTTCTTCCTCTTTCTTTTTTCTTCCTTCCTTTCCTTTCTTTCCTTTCTTCCTCTCTTCTCCTCTCCTCCCCCTCCTCTCTTCTCCCCATCCCATCCCCTCCTCCCCTCTTCCCCCCTCCTCCCCCTCCTCTCCTCCTCTTCTCCCTCCTCCCCCTCCTCCCCTCCTCCTCCCCCTCCTCCCCTCCCCCTCCCCTCCCCTCTCCTCTTTTCAATTCCACCCATGTAGAAATTTTGATGGGGTAAGAGAGCACACCAGGGACTGCCTTGCGTAACCAAGAAAAATTATCAGAGGGGGAAATCAGTCACTGCTGCACCTTCATCTCTGCTTAGAGTCACTTTTGTCACTCTTGGTCTCCACTCCCTGTCCTTAACTCTCCTGAGGCTTCTGGCCTCCTGGGACTTTTCATTGCGAATCTAAACTCCCTGCTGGTGTTAACTGTCCGTCCACCAGCAGCCTAATGGCCTGATTTCCCTCTCAAACACTGTCTCGGGGGATTGAGGTCGCCCACACGGCAAAGCTTGGGGCTGTGCGACCCTGGGCAAGTTCTGTGCTCTCTCTGGGCTTGGGCGGGCGTGGCTGGGGGCGCAGGGACAGGGTGTTGTGAAGGCACAAGTCCCGGCCTTTTACTTAGTGGAGGACGAAGAGACAGCGGAGGTTTGGAGGCAGGAGATGCCAGGGCGGGGTAGCTGCCCGGGGAGCAGGGAAAGCAGGTGAGTGTAAGCGCCTTGCCAGCAGGGACCAGGTGTTACTTTTCTTTTGTAACCGCACAGGCTTCCAAGCCGGGCCATCAGGGACTGGGGACACCTGTCGATGACTGCTCTTCCTCTCCTCTCCTCAGGGCCTCGGACAAGCTGTTCCTCCTGGACCAGTGCGAGAAATACCGGCGCTGCAAGCAGTGCCAGAGGCGCACCTCCAACGAGGGCGAGAGCAACCTGTGGCCCCCGAACAAGTTCCTGCGTGGCTCCCAGTTGCTCGTGTAAAACTCAAAAGTTTGGACCTGCGTTTCCTGGGGAAGTTTTTTTTTTTTTAATTTATTAATCTTTTACATGTTTTGGTGTTTGTGAAACTGCTTATTTGTACTCAGAGAAAAAAAAGTCATTGTTCGGTTCTGTGCTTTCAGTAGATAGCTTTTTCACCCTTATTGGATTTAAGTCGGCAGGGTCTCCCCTCTTGCCTTTCTCCCTCCCTCGCTTCCTCCCCCAGCTTGTCTCCGATGGCAGTGAAGGTGTCTGAATGGTCCTGAGGGCTAGAACCCCCTGCCGCAGGGGCTGGAGACTGGCCCCAGCTTCATTCTGGCTACTGGGGTGCTGCTGATCTGGCCCTGCCACGCCCTCTGATTTTGTGTGCAAAACTCCATCTTGTTTTCATCTATGATGAATAATATCATAATAAATATTTTCTAAGCACCTGACTGTGTATGACAATTCATAATGGTACATTTTACCCCCTTCCCCAACTCTAGACTTGTCCAGAGGCCTGTATGTGTGGACCTCACAGAGGAAGATGAGGCTGTTTACCGCAGGAGGGTCAGAGCAATGCTTCCTGAAGTTTCTAACTGACACACCAGGGACTTTATTGGGGCGTCAGCGGATATCGTTCCTTTGGTGGCTTCCTAATCAACCATTCCATTGTCCAGCCATTTCTAACCCCCATCACATGTTTACTTTGGGAATCAGTGTGCACTGTGAGGGGAGTCTGCTTGGCTCGGTAGGTGCCACCTCCTCTCACTGCTTCACTTGCATCCATTCTTGAGCTGTTGAAGAGGACTTCCCTGTCACTTAAGGTATGGCTGCTCTCAACCAAAAACTTTCTTCATTCATCTCCACCCTTTACCTCCTCTCCCTGCCCTATCTGACCACTTCAGATAAAACAAAGTAGAGTGAAGCCTAGATTTCTAAAATTCAAAAGCTAGGAAGAAAGTCTTTTAGACTATTTGCTTTCTGACTGCCACACCTCTCCTTTAGAAAATGAGCGAGGGTATACGTTTGTGAATAGGTAAAACATTTGTTTGCCTGACTGAAAATACAAAATGGAAATGTATGGAGCCCTGAATAGTTATGGGGAAAATATTCACTTAAGCTGGTATTTTACAAATTTTGTTGCTAATGTTGTCCTTTTCTATTGAAACAAGCATACCTGCTGATGATTGCAGTTCTTTGGAACCTCTTCAACCTTTCTACATTTTTGTGCCTCCTTCCATTTCCTCAGAAAATTACTCCACAGAGGGCCAATCTTCATCAAAATAATAGCCTTTCTCCAGGACTGTCTGACCTGCCTGAATCCACACCTGCTGCATGCTTGGAGTCTTTCTCTTTCTCTAATGTATAATATATTACTATAACAGTGTTGTATTAATATTTAACAAATATAGACTACCATGCTGAAGTAAAAATGTAAGGCAATTTTGATATGTTTGAGTGAACAGATTTAACTTTGTCAGCTTTTTTTTTAACTGGAGGAACTGAATTTAAAATTTACTATCATGGGTAGCAATACTGACTCTAAAAATATTTTTTAAATTATATTTTGATAAATTATATATTGGTGTACAAAGTGATATGATTTTTGAATACAATGTGGAATGATTAAATCAAGATAATTAACATATCCAGCTCCTCAAATATTTAATATTTTTGTGATGAGAACATTTAAAATTTATTTTCTTAGCTATAATTGAAATGTTCAATACTCAATTATTAGCCATATTCACCACACTGTGCAATAGATCTCAAAAAAATCAAACCTATTCCTCTTGTTTAACTGAGGCTTTGTACTCTTTGACTATCATCTCACCATTCCTTCTACCCCCAGCCTATGGTAGCTATCATTCTACTCTCTGCTTCTATGAGTTCCATTCTTTTAGATTCCACACACAAGTGAAAATTAGTCTTTCTATGTTTGGTATATTTCACTTAGCATAATGTTCTCCAATTCCATCCATGTGTCCTTTGTTCTACTTTTTAACTTCTGTAAATCAATTTTACTTCTGAGATCAATTTATTTTTTAGCTTCTCTATATAAGTGAGAACATCTGTTGTTTAACTTTTCCTGGCTTATTTCATTTAATGTAGTGTCCTCCAGTTCCATCCATGTTGCTGTGAATGACAGGATTTTGTTCTTTTTTATGGTTGAATATTATTCTCTTGTGTGTACATACCTCGTTTTCTTTATTCATTCATCTATCGTTGGATTCTTGGGTTCATTCCACATCTTGGCTATTGTGAATATTGCTGCAATGAACATGAGGATGCAGACATCTCTTCAAGATATTGATTTCAAATCTTTTGGGCAAATACCCAGAAGTGGAATTGATGGATCACATAGTAATTCTATCTTTAATGTTTTGAGGAAACTCTATACAGTTTTCCATAATGGCTGTACTAAGAATATATAAGGGTTCTTTCTTCCACATCATTGCCCAACACTTATCTTTTGACTTTTTGATAATAACCATTCTAACAGGTATGCAGTGATCTCTCATTGTAGTTTTATTAATAATTTGTATCTTTCTAATGATTGGTGATGTTGAGCATTTTTTCATGTATCTGTCAGCATTATGTCTTCTAAAAAATGTCTATTCAGATTCCTTGCCCTTTTCTTAATTGATTATTTGTTTCCTTTCTATAAAGTTGTTTGAGTACCTTATATATTTTGGATATTAATCCCTTATTAAATGTATGACTTGCAAATATTTTCTCCCAATATGGAGGTTGTCTCTTTACTCTGTTAATTGCTCTCTTTGTTGTGCAGAAATTTTTGTAATCTCATTGTCTGTTTTTGCTTTTGTTGCTCGCACTTTTGGGATCAAATGTAAAAAGTCATTGCCCAGACAAATGTTTTATAGTTTTCTCCCTATGGTTTCTCCTAGTAGTTTTACAGTTTCAGGACTTATGTCTTTAATCCATTGTGATGTGATTTTTGTACATTGTATGAGATAAGTGTTCAATTTCACTCTATGTCTTTTTATTGGAGAATTTAATCCATTTACATTGAAGGTAATTATTGATAGGTAAAGACTACTGCCATTTTGTTCATTGTTTTCTGGTTTTATGGATAGTTTTGTATTCCTCACTTGCTTTTCTTTGTGGTTTGATAGTTTTCTATAGTGGTATGTTTTGAATCCTTTAAATTTTTGTTTTTGTGTCTTCTATAGATTTTTGCTTTATGGTTACCATGAGGCTTACATAGAACATCTTACATTTATAATAGTTTACTTCAAGCTGATAACAGCTTAACTTTGATTGCATACAACTACTTTATACTTTTACTCCCCTTGCTCCACATTTTATGTTTTTGATATCTGAATTTACATCATTTTATAATATGTGTCTCTTGATAATTTATTTTAGCCATAGTTATTAATAATTTTGTCATTTAGGCTCTATACTAAGGCTAAAGGGTGTATACTAAGGATAAAATTACTTTACTTACCGCCATGACAGTCCTAGAGTATTCTCAATATTGCCTTGTATTACTTATACCATTGGTTTTGTGCTTTTGTAAGCTTTATGTAATTAATAAGAAGACATTTGTTTCAGTTTACAGAACTTCCTTTAGCAATTCCTGTAAGCTAGGCCTAGTGGTGGTAAACTCACTTAGCTTTTGTTTTTCTGGGAAAGTTTTTATTTCTCTCTGATTTCTTGGTAAGTAGTTCATAACCTGAAAAACATATATATTTCTCTCTGATCTGAAAGACAGATTTTCTGGGTATACTGTTCTTAGTGTTTTTTCCTTTGCACTTTGATATCACCCCACTCTTTCCTAGTCTGCAGGGCTTCTGCTGAGAAGTTAGGTGATAGTCATATTGGGATTCTTTTGTATGTGATGTATTTCTTATCTCTTGCTGCCTTCAGAATATTTTCTTTGTCTTTAATTTTTGATAGTTTTTATTGTTATGTATCATGGTAAACTCCTTTTTGGGTTGAACTTGACTGGACACCTCTGTGCTTCTTATACCTGGATGTTGATTTCTTTCCTCAGATTAAAGAAGTCTTCATCCATTATTTCTTTAAATATGCTTCTGGCCCTTTTTCTCTTTCTTCTCCTTTTGGAATTCCTATTATGCATTAGTTAGGTCTCTTGATGGTGTCCCATAAGTCCCACAGGATTTCTTCTTCTTTTTTCTTTTTGCCCCCCAATTAGGTGATTTCATATGTTCTGTTTTTGAGCTCACTGATTATTTCTTAAGCTTCATTGAGCCAGCTACTGAAGCTTTCTGTGCATTTTTCAGTTCAGTCATTGTCTTCTTCATTTCTAGGATTTATATTTTTTTATGTGTATTTCTTTGTCAAACTTCTCATTTTGTTTGTGTATTGTTTTCCAAATTTCATTCATTTTTTATTCATATATTCTTGACATTCACTGAACTTTCAAAAGAGGATTATTCTGAAATCCTTTTCTGTTATTTCATAAATCTCCCTTTCTTTAGAGTCCATTGTTGGAGGTTTGTTAGTTTCTTTTGGGGGTTTCATGATTTCCTAAGTCTTTGTGATCTTTGCATCCTTGCATTGGCATTTGTGGACTTGTGAAAAAAGCCACCTTTTGGGAGTTTTACAGATGTTCTTTGGTAGGGATATACCTTCACTGTTTAGTCAAGCCTATGATTCTGGGTGGGTCAGCTAGTAATGATTCTGGGTAGGCAGAGCTTGCTTTTAGGTTCTCTAGATTGCTGAGCTGCTTACTTTGCTTTGAATTTGGATGGGGCAGCTGGCTAGGCTCTTCTATCTGGCAAGGCCTCAAGCTGAACTCTGCAATTAGGTTGAGATGCTGGATCAACACTTCAATTGCCTTTGAGCCAACTGGGCCACAGGGTGTATTTGCTAGCCAGCTGTTACCACTATTTGAATTCAGAAGTTGGATAGGGTTGCAGAAGGGCCCCTGAGATTAAGTGGATTTGGATGAATGGACCAAATCTACACTCAGTAGAAAGGTACTGTTAAGATTTGCTTCTCTCCCTGGGTGGGATCTGGGGTGGACTTTGAGACCATAGTGAATACGAGTTAACTTCTAAGCATGGCAAAACTAGTGCATGGGTTTTTTTCTGTTTGTTTTGTTTTGTTTTTGTGGAAATTTGCTGCTTTGTGGAAATTTACTGTGCTAGTCCTTTCCCTTCCTGATTGAGTACCTGGTCTAAGGTCTGAGGCTGGGCCTGGAGGATGGCCATCTAGGAATTCGAGCTAGTTAGCACTTTCCACTTCTTCTGGACTGACCAGCTCAGTTTTGCAGGTGGGCTATGCGGTTAGCTGGTACCTCTGATTGAGTGCCACTGATGGCAGTTACACTGAGTTATCACCAACATCTGTGCACTGTTCTCTGTGGGCTTCACCACCTTGCTTTGTTTCTACCTGACCCCAGGTGGTCTAGATGTGCAGTTTCTCCCCATGATCCCCATTCCCTGTGAGGTGAGAATGGAGTATAGGGAAGCTGGATCTCTGCCTCCTTGGTTCTCTTTTCCCACTGTAGGAACCGTGGGCCCTGGAGAATCCTGTTTGTGTGGTGCTGTGCTGATTTGAGGGAAGAGGAGGGGTGACATGGTCAAAGCAAGACCATTTTCCTATCCTTTAATATGGACTTTTATTCAGTTCCATGGTACATTTAGGTGATTCAGGCTTATTCCCACACTTTGGAATTTTCAACAAAGTATTTTTGTCTGTGGATAGTTGCTAGTTGATCTTTCTGTGCAGGGGTGGGAGTGAAGCCTAGGACCTCCCATTCTGCCAACTTGTTGATGTTACTTTTCTCTGTATTGACTCTATGTGTCAAGCACCAAGCTAATTTTTGGTGACCTGGAGATTAAGACCTCATCGGTCCCTGCCTGCCTTCAGAGTGCTTACTGTCTAGTGCAGAAGTGAGATGTGACTAGAAAAATTGCTGTATAACAAGGTGAAGACCTAATAGCACTATGCATTTGTTGTTACCTTGTGGTAAGTTGAGCCTATCATGGCTTTTGGAGCAGATGAGGCCTGAGCTGAATTTTAAGGATAAATTAGAAGGATAAATTTAAGGATAAATTGGAAATAGCCAGGTGAAGAGTGACAGGGTCGTGGCAAGTGATGTCAGGACCATGTGTTCCAGTCTATCAAAGTTAAGGTGGAGCCATGGCTATGTGAGTTAGCTGGATAAAACCTACTGTCTTTTATCATTCATTTTAAGAATCAAAATTTATGATAGTCCTTTACCAAACAGCTGATTTCATACAATAAATAATAGACTGTCTTTTTCAGAGCAAGTCTTCATCATTTTGATCTTCTTTACTTATGCTGTTATTAATCTTTTATTAGTCTATTATTAGTAAGCACAGGCTTACTTAGAGCATCTTTTTCTAAATCTTTTTTAGAGCATCCTTTTCTAAATCAATTTGAATTATTATCATGAAGCCTGTCATTCCCAGAGCTATGCCACTGTCAGACCAGTTTAATGTATCAGAGAATTCCCTGGTTCAGTGATTTTTAATGTTTTTGATAGTCATGGACTCTCTTGAGAATCTAATGAAAAATATGTACCTTTTTTCCTAAAAATAGGTACATATTACCATGCAACGTTTTTCATGCAATCAATTACAGGTTTCCTAGATCCTCTGGACTATAGGTTAAGGAAATCCTTCCTTTACCATTTCTTACAAGCTTAGGCTATTAAAAATGATAGAAGTGAATGATTTAATATGCTTTTGAAAATTCCCTTTCATTGGCTGGGTGTGGTGGCTCATGCCTGTAATCCTAGCACTTTGGGAGGCTGAGGTGGGAGGATCACTTGAGGTTGGGAGTTTGAGACCAGCCTCAGCAAGAATGAGACCCTGTCTCTACTAAAAATAGAAAGAAATTAGCCAAATAACTAAAAATTAGCTGGGCATTGTGGTGTGCGTGGCTGTAGTTCCAGCTACTTGGGAGGCTGAAGCAGGAGGATGGCTTGAGCCCAGGAGTTTGAGGTTGCTATGAGCTAGGCAGACACCATGACACTGTAACCCTGGCAACAGAGCAGGACTATCTCAAAAAAGAAAAAAGAAAAAAAAAATTTCCTTTCAGGTCTAGAGAACTATGTCCATTTTTGTCTTCCTCTGTTTGATTCTTCTAAAGAAGAATGAGATGAGAGTTATAATGGCTATTAGAAAGCACAATATCCAGTGCTTTTCAAATTTTTTGAGTAAGACTCAGTAAAAGAAATAGATTTTACACTGCAATGCAGAACCCATGCCTATATATATATGAGATAAAAGTTTTACACAGCTGTATTTATCCCATCACCTGTAATGCATTCTAATATTTTCTATTTTATTTTATTAAAAAATTCTAGACTGAACAAAATAGATTTCACAATCCACTAATGTAAATAGATAATTTCCAGTTTGAAAAACATAGTTTTAATCTAATTCTTCCTCCACTATGTTCACATAGTACTGCTAGCAAGGTGTATCCTGTCTTAATCTATTATTTTTGTGGGTAGCAGAGGAAGAAGTGGGGCCTATGCACAGGGCACCTTGAACAGCCGTGCAGATCAGCTCTGTACAAAGGCTCCCAGCCCCCAGTTTCTATCACTGCTGTAACAAATTACCACAAACCCAATTGCTTAAAGCAACAGAAATTTATTCTTTTATAGTTCTGTAGATCAGGAGTCTGAAATCAGTTTTACTGGGCTAAAGTCAAGATGTCATCAGGGCTGGTTCCTCCTGAAAGCTCTGAAGGGGGAGAATCCTTGTCCTTGCGTTTTCCAACTTTTAGAGCCATTCTTTGTACTTCTTGGGTCAGGGCTCCTTCCTCCATCTTCAAAGTCAGCAGCATAGCATCCTCAGAACTGTCTCTGCCTCTGTCAACACATTGCCTTCTCCTCTACTCCAAATTTCCTTCTGCCTCCCTTTTATGAGAGCACTTGTGATGACATTGAGGGACCACTCAGATAATCCAGAATAATCCTTAATCTCATCTGCAAAGTCCCTTTTGCCATAAATATAACAGGTTCCAGGGATTAGAATCTGGATATCTTTAGGACCATTATTCAGCCTACCACAGGGTGAGTGGTATAAAAAATTTAGCCCCCAATCTACTCATTAAACTCTGCATCAGAGATCCACAGTAGACCAGAAGCTGGTGCCAATCTTTTCTTTGGGCCTTAGCTACATAGATGTACCTGTGTGCTTTTTTTTGTTTGTTTGTTTGGTTTTGCAGGATTCGGGAAGGATATGAGATGGAGAAGGAAGGACACTGAACAATTCAAACTTATTATAGTTTCTTTATTGTTAGGTTTTGATACCAGCATAATACTGACCTCATAAAATGAGTTGAGAAGTATTCTCAATTATTCTACTTTCTGGAAGAAATTGTGTAGAAATGGTGTTGTGTAGAATTCCTTCCTTAAATGTTTGGTAGAATTCACTAATGAAACCATTCATGCCTGAGTTTCCTTTGCTGAGAGGTTTTAAACTATGGATTCCGTTTTTCTTGGTTCTTCTTTGTATGTTGAGTAATTCTGTATTATATTCTGGACATTCTGAATATTATGTGTGAAACTCTGAGTCATGTTAATATCCTTGGGAGAATATTGGATTTTAATTTGTTTTTGTTTTAGCAGGCAAAGTCTTGAGTTTCAGACCTTTTATGCTTTTCTGACAACAGGGACCCCTTTTCTTCGTTCTGCTGGCCACTAGATTTTCCCTAATGTTCTTTTTCTGTTCCAAGATCCCATCCAGTATACTACATTGCATTTAGTTGTCATGTCTCTTTAGCCTCCTCTGGTCTGTATTCTAGGTCATATTCCTATCATTATTTGAATAATTCCTTACTTTCTGTCATAACAGGATGTTCCTAGCTATCCTTATACTTTTCCTGCCCTACCTCTGGAATCAGCCATTACTCCAAGGAGCCTCAGTTCCTTTTAATGGAGAATGATATCTAGAAAACCATGATCTGGTCACTCGTTGAGCTCATTACTATTTGGTTCTCTCTGCTCTCTATAGATGAAGCTAGGGAACACACACACACACACACACACACACACACACACACACACACACACACATCTATGTTTCCATTACTACCTTTCTATACTGAAAATGATGAGTTCACACCAATATCACAATTCCAATCCCAAACACTAGAATTCATTTAACTTTTCAACTTTCCATATTTGTAATTCCTGTCTCTGACAATATCCAATTCTCATTATCCTCAATGTATTACTGGATGAACCCTTATGCAATTTCTGATCACTATTGCTGTCCCCATGTGCACACTCTCCCAGTCTGCTTGGGCTCTGACTGCCTGGACCAGGCTGCTACTACCACTCCCACTGTTGCTTAAATGCCCTTCTTACCTCCTGTAGACTGAGACTTCTGTGCTGCTGCTTCTGCATCCCACCTCCTGCACAGGCAACTACCCTGCTGAGCTCCATCTAGTGGACTGAATTATTAAAGAAGAAATAAAAGGAAGGAAGGAAGGAAGAAGTGGAAGAGTGAAGAGATAAGAAAGAGAAAGGAAGAAAAGAAGAGGAAATAAGGAAGAAATAGGGCTTTATTGCTGTGGACCATGCCTAGGCCAGGAAACAAAGTCTACATATTTTAGAAAATTCTAATAGCTATTCTAGAAGAAACTTGAGAACAAGGAATAATATCTTCAAGGGACTGAGAGAAATAAATGCCAAGGTACAATTGTGTACCCAGCAAAACTATTTAGGAATGAAGGCCAAATAAAAAGATTTTAGGAATAAGGACAGAAAAAAAAAAAAAACAACCAGAAAGAGCAAAATATAATTTACCAACAATAAGGGAAATGCATTCAAAAGTGACAGAATGCATATTTTCAAGCATGTATAAAACATTAAGTTGATCATATACTCAGAATTAAAGGATTCTCCAAGAGATGCTTCCGGATAAAGGAAAATAACCTCAGAAAGAAGCATGGCGATCCAACAAGGAAAAATGAGCAAAAGAAATCAGTAATTTGTTGGATAAATTCAAACAAACATTGATTTTATAAGCAATATCTAACTTATGGCATTAAAAATTAAAATGCTTAGGCAACATTAATAGTTAAAGCACACTGAGTTCCTTCAAGAGGTAGAAAAAGATTCTGAACTATATTTGACTTTTTCTAAGATACTTAAGCACTAAACTGAAATGGGGTGTATAATAGACCATGGGTATTAGAGAGGTAGACTCCAAAGCTAGAATTCCAGGATTCAAACCTTAGCCCATTTACTAGCTGTGTGACCTTGCTCAAATTACTTAACCTTTCTGTGCCTAGGTTTTTAAAATGAGGATAGTGGAAATCATACTAGTATATAATCATAGGGTTGTTGTATTACATTTATGTAAACACAAAGAAGGGTTAGCCACAATGCAACTTCCAAAACAGTAAAGGGAAAATATGAAGTAGGAATAAGGCAAAGCCTTAATCCAAAAGAAATCAAGAAAGGATTAAAAAAAATTAGAAATATGGGCCAAACAGCACAAAATAAGAGAGGCAAAATGCTTAAGTTTTTCAGCTAAAAAACAAAGTTTGTCAGGCTGGATTTGTAGCCACCCAGTCTTTTCTGGCTGTGCTTTGTTGATAACAGAGTGTTCAGTTATTTTGCAGGTACAGAGCTAAAACTTTACAAGTTATACAGCCAGAGCATGTGCAAAAAAGAAAACTTAGACCGCAAATAACACCCAGAACTAAAGTCTTTCTCCCTACCCTAAACTAAAAGGTCAGGACGTGGTCAGAACTTGAGTGCCAGAACACTTTCAGAAGCCAGGGGTCCAGTTGCCTAGGAATGTCCAGTAATAAGACCCCTCCCCATGCCTCACCACAAATGGTCCCATTTAAAGTCTTTCCTATCGGGAAGCCCTTTATTCGGTAACAGACTCGGGGTGGGAGAGAAGCCAGACAGTATGTTGTTGCCAAGAGACACAGTTAACACACACCACGCTGGTATTAAAAGATATACCAGTCAGAGTCAACAGTGGGGAATCTTCTTTCGGTACCTTCCCTGACTAGTCCTAGTCTACCCCCGCGTGTCCCCCCCAGTCTCTTTCAGTCAGCGTCCCGCGTCCGCCCTCAGCCCCTCCCCTTCCTGAGTGGAGGCCGATGCTCAGGCAGCAAAGGTTCACGCCGTCAGCGGCGGGCACCGTGACGTCATCGGGAGGCGGGGCCGACGGGCCTCACGCCCTCGCTCATTGGCTCTTGGTGTGCCCAGCCACGATTGGTGGGGAGTTCGCATGTAGCGTCCTGCTACGAAATAAAGGGTTTGTGACGCAAGGGCGCGTGGCGCACGCGTATTGGCTCCCTCGAGGCGCTCTCGTGAGAACCTCTGGCCCTCTGTAGAGCTTGGTATCCCGCCGTCGCCGCCGCCTGCCCGCGACGACCACTGCCGCTCCGGCTCTGCAGCCGTCGCCGCCTCTGGCGCCGCGGGTCCAGCTGTATGATTAGGCCACAGTCTTTCATGAGTAAACATACTCCTTTCTGTGGTGTTCTTGGTCACGCATTTATGGAGTTTCTGAAGGGCCCTGCAGATTACTGCCAGGCACAGCACGACCTTTATGAGGACAAGTGAACTGTGGAAAGCCATAACTACTCCACTCAGAAGCCCGCATGAGAGCGGGTAACCTGGCCACAGAAGTGTTGAATTGAAATCATCAGAGCATTTCACGACAGTTCTGACCTGGATGGGATAAACCTACGTGCACGTCCTTTCCATTGACTTTTAGTCAATTGAAGCACCCCTGCTTCTTAGAAGTTCATTTCATTTCCTGTCACTCCCAACTTCATATGCAAAGCTCTGAGGATTTCAAGTGGAGTATATTGGAGTAGACTTCAGTTTCTTGACATTTCTGTATTCAAAATTTTTTAATTTTTTCCCGTTACTATATTGGTGTTTTTTTGGTTTTGTTTTTGTTTTTTAACTAAATTAACATGGCTCCAATGAACCACCCAGCTCCTGTGGAAGTCACATACAGGAACATGAGATTTCTTATTACACACAACCCAACCAGTGCAACCTTACACAGATTTATAGAAGAACTTAAGAAATACGGAGTTACCACAATAGTGAGAGTATGTGAAGCAACCTATGATCCTGCTCTTGTGGAGAAAGAAGGCATCCAGGTTCTGGATTGGCCCTTTGATGATGGTTCATCACCATCCAAGGAGATTGTTGATGACTGGTTAAGTCTTGTAAACATTAAGTTTCGTGAAGAACCTGGCTGTTGTATTGCTGTTCACTGTGTTGCAGGTCTTGGGAGAACTCCAGTGCTTGTTGCCCTAGCATTAATTGAAAGTGGAATGAAAAATGAAGATGCAGTACAGTTTATAAGACAAAAGCGGCGTGGAGCTTTTAACAGCAAGCAACTTTTGTATTTGCAGAAATACCATTCAAAAATGCGGCTGTGCTTCAAAGACTCTGGTGGTCACAGAAACAACTGTTGCATTCAATAAAACTTGGCTGTCTGATACTATTGCCTTGGAAGTGGAACTTGAGACAGGACTTAATTTATTATACATATTAGCCAACATATAGGTTTAGTGTTTAAGTCTAATGAAGCTTCCATAGGAATATTGAAAAGCCACATGCTTGACAGAATTGCATCGTCTTATGTTTGGTTTACTATTTAATTATTCTGATGCCAGAAACAATATATAAGAAATTTAGAAAGATTAGGTGCCAAGATACCTAGCACAACACTTGTATATTTTTAGTATCAGACAGAATTAAAATTCCAGGAAATATGACCTTAGGTGGTCTATTCCTTAAGTCATTTCAGACATTGCAAGTAGGGCCTATATGATTATTTGCCTGCTTCTTTGTTTAGCATCCCACATGTGTACCAGTATACATCAGGTTTGTACAGCAGTTGATTTTGTTAGATTCCTACCAAGTCTTATGATAATTATTTAATGTCTTTCTTTCTTTCTTTTTTTTTGGGGGGGACAGAGTCTTGCTTTGTTGCCCAGGCTAGAGTGAGTGCTGTGGCATCAGCTTAGTTCACAGCAACCTCAAATCCTGGGCTCAGGCAATTCTGCTGCCTTAGCTTCTCGAGTAGCTGGGACTACAGGCATGTGCCACCATGCTCGGCTATTTTTTTCTATATATATATTAGTTGGCCCATTACTTTCTTTCTATTTTTAGTAGAGATGGGGTCTTGCTCTTGCTCAGGCTGGTTTTGAACTCCTGACCTCAAGCAATCAGCCCACCTCAGCCTCCCAGAGTGCTAGGATTACAGGCGTGAGCCACTGCGCCTGGCCTTTAATGTCTTTCTATAAATCTTATTAAGTAAACTTCCATTTTGAAAAATGAGAAAAATCACAAAATCTCCATTTAAAAAAAATCAACCTCTGGGTGAAAGGTCATGCAAAATCCACTTTGTACAGAAGCACATGTTGAATGTCTAAAGACAGAAAAGCCTTAATGTTTATAGTTAGGATGCAACTTAAATGGTAGAGCCCTGAAGACAGAAGTACAAGGAAAAGTGACAAGTTTACCATAGCAGTGGGAAATTTTACTGTCCCTTTTCAGAAACAGATCAAGTAGACAAAAAATCAAGATTTGGAATATAGATTTGAACAATGCAATCAACAAACTTGATCCCACGAACACGTAAGGGGCATTTCATCCATCCAACAGTATGAGACTACATATTCTTTTTAAGAGTACATGAAATATTAAATTTGACCATAAACAACTTTTAGCAAATTTTAAACTATTTGCATAATACAAAACAACTTCTCTGACCACAATTCAATTAAGTTAGGAACAAAGTTAATATCCACACATTTGTAATTTTGAAAATCTGTCTAGAGACTTCCACTTCTAGATAGGATATAGTATGTCATGGCAGCCTAACACTCTTCCTGCAATAACCAGAAAAATATGGAAAAATTACAAAGGTGATGTTTAAAATATGTGAGAGCAATAAGGTCTAGGTGAACAGGAATTCCAGAGAGGGAGAGCCCTCCTGAGATGAGTGCTTGTTTTCTTTTGGGGGGCTTTTCCTGATTTTGGACATGGACTAAAAGAGATTAAACTGGGTCCACGTAGAGGGTCACCCAGCAAAGCTTTTGGTTGTCACGTGAGGCTGGTGCAGCAGATTGGAAAATTGAGAAGCTTGGCCAGTTTTCTCAATCTGTTGCAACTTGGGTTCCCCAGAAAACAGACACTGAACCTGAGATTTGCTTTCAAAGAGTTACTGGGGAGTAACAACACCTCAGGGAACACCACCTGTGAGGGAGTTAGAGAAGCAGGATAATGCATGAGAAATTGAATGGTAACACATACAGTTGCAACAGTAGACTCAGTCTAGCTCATGGGGAACTCTGAAGATGAGATGACTATTAGAGGTGTCTCCAATTGAGGCAAGGGAGTGGGGCCTTTGGACTATTGAATTAACCAGTCATTGGATACAGGCTGCCCCAGGGGAAGATGGCATCACCTTGGGTGGAGCATCCTCCTTCAGGCAAAGGCAGTTCCTTAGAGAGGGATGCTGCTGTGAGCCCTCAGCTGATCATGACAGCTGGGGGAATGAGTGTTTCAGGCATGAGGAGGGGTCTGGGTGGTTCTACTGTAGCATCCACTGTATTAAATTCCACTTGCTGAATTTGGGGGCTATGCTTGGGAGGTTGGGGAGTTAGAAAGGCTTAAAAGGCTATCAGAAATCTCCTTTAATCTCATAGTGCTTAGGAGACAAAGTTCTGCTAGTGAAAAAGAGGTTCACATTTCTCCATTTCCTAACACTTATCTTTTTTATTATTGCCATTCTGGTGAGTTCAAAATGGTATCCCACTGTGTTTTTAATTTTCATATGACTGATAATGTTAAGCATCTTTTCATGTACTTGTTAGTCATTCACATATCTTGAGTAAAATGTTATTTTAAATATTTTGCTCATTTCTAAAATTGGGTTGTCATCTTCTTAAGTTGTAAGAGTTCTTTGTATATTCTGGATCCAATGTCTTTGTCAGGTATATTATTTGCAAATATTTTCTCCTAGTCTGCTGCTTGTCTTTTTTTCCCCTGTAATGGTGTGTGTTTCATAGTGCAAAAATTTTAAATTTTGATGAAGTATGGTTTATAATTTTTTCTTTATGAGTCATGCTTTTAAAATTGAATCTCAGAACTCTCCATGACAACAATCTTATGCTGTATTTTCTTCTAGAAATTTTTATAGATTTAGTGTTTACATTTAAGTCTGTGATCCATTTTGAGTTTGGTGTAAGGTTTGGTGTGAGGTGTCTAAGTTCATTCTTTTTTGCATGAGGATATTCGATTGTCTCAGCACCATTTGTTCAAAAGACCATCCTTTATCCCCTTGAATTACTTTGGTAGCTTTGTTGAAAACATCAAGTTAGCATAAATGTTAGGACTTATTTGTGAACACTGGATTTTGCTTCATTTTCTTATAAGACAACACAGTCTTGATCATTGTATCTTTACAGTAAGTATTTGAAATTGAATAGTATACTTTGTTCTTTTAAAAATTTTTTTGGCTATTCAAAATCCTTTACATTTCCATATAAATTTGAGGATAAACCTGTTGATTTCTACCAAAGGAAAGCCTACAATGGTTTTGATAGGTATAGTGTTGACTGTCTAGATAAATTTGAAGAGAATGGCGATTTTGACAATATCAGGTCTTCAAGTCTATGAGCATGGAATCTCTCTCCATTTATTTAGATCTTCTTTAATTTCTATCAGTAATGTTTTATAGTTTTCAGCATTCAAGACTTATACTTCTAAAATTTATTTCTAAGTATTTTTTCTTTGTGATGCTATTGTGAATAGAATTGTTTTCTTAATTTTATTTTTGGATTGCTGATAACATAGAAATACAACTGATTTTTATATATTGATTTTGTGTCTAGTGGCCTTTTTAAACTCATTTATTAATTGATAGAGAATGTGTGTGTTCTTTAGCATTTTCTATCTTCAGGATTATGTTATCTGTGAATAAAGGCAGTTTTACTCTTTCTTTCCAATGTTGACAGCTATAATTTCTTTTTCTTGCATTATTGTAGTGGCTAGACCCTCCATGTTGACTAGAAGTGGTGAAAATGCCATCTTTGCCTTGCTCCAGATCTTAGGGAGAAAGTATTCATTCTTTTACTGTTAAGTCTGATGTTAGCAGTTGGTTCTTTATAAATATCCTTTATCAGGTTGAGAATGTTCTTTTCTATTTCTATTTTGCATAGAGTTTTATCATAAATGGGTGTTGGATTTTTTTCAAATGCTTTTTTTTCACATCTATTGGCATGATCTTATGGTTTTTGTCCTTCATTCTATTAATATTCTATACTATATTTAATGATTTTTGAATGTTAAAACAACTTTGCTGGCCAGGTGCAGTGGCTCATGCCTGTAATCCTAGTACTCTGGGAGGCTGAAGCAGGAGGATTGCTTGAGCTCAGGAGTTTGAGACCAGCCTGAGCAAGAGCAAGACCCCATCTCTACTGAAAATAGAAAGAAATCAACCAAACAACTAAAAATAGAAAAAAAAATTAGCCAGGCATGGTGGCACATGCCTGTAGTCCCAACTACTTGGAAGGCTGAGGCAGGAGGATTGCTTGAGGCCAGGAGTTTGAGGTTGCTGTGAGCTAGGCCGATGCCACGGTACTCTAGCCTGGGCAACACAGTGAGACGCTGTCTAAAAAAAATAAAAAATAAAAAAATATAACTTTGCTTTCTTAGGGATAAATCCCACTTGTTAATTGTGTGTAATTCTTGTATATATGTTGCTGGATTTGGTTTGCTATATAATTGTTTAGGATTTTTGCATCCATATTCAGGAAGGATATTAGTCTTTAATTTTTTGTAATATCTTTATCTGGCTTTGATATAGTAATAACAGTATCACAGAATGATTTGGGAAGTGCTCTTTCCTCTGCTTTCTGAGTTTCTGAAGGATTATTATTATTTCTTCTTTAAGTAGTTGATAGAATACAGCCAATGAAACCATCTGGACATAGGCTTTTCTTGGGGGAAAATTTTTAATTACACATTCAATTTCTTTGCTTATTATACGTATACTGATTTCTGTGTTAACTTTTGCTTTGGATTTTGTTTGCTTTTTTCCCCTAGTTTCTTAAGGAGGAAGTTAACTTTGTTGATCTGAGACCTCTTGCCTTCTCTGTTTTCTTTCTTTTTTTCTCTTTCTTCCTGATGTAGGTATTTGCATTAGTTAGGGTACTACAGAGAAACAGAGCCAATAAAGTCTCTCTCTCTCAGTCTCTTGCTATTTATTATAAGGAATTTGCTTGGCTTACATGACTATAGTGGCTGGCGAGTCCTAAGATCTACAGGGTGAGTTGGCAAGCTGGAGACTTAGGAGAGCTGCCAGTCTGAAGGCAGAAAAGAGCCAATATCCCAGTTATAAGGTTGTCAAATAAGGGAGGGTCAGCCTGTTTTTTCCTGTTCAGGCCTTCAACTGATTGGATGAGGCCCACCCGCATTGTGAAGGGCAATCTGCTTCACTTAGTTTACTGATTTCAGTGTTAATCTCATCCAAAAACACACTCACAGAAACACCCAGAATCATGTTTGATAAAATATCTGGACACCCTGTGGCCCAGGGAAGTTGACACCTAAAATTAACCATGACAGCATTTTAAGCTATAAAATTTCCTTCTACGCCCGCTTTAGCTATATCTCATTACTTTTGATACAGTTTTAAAAATTCAGTTCAACAGATAATCTTGTGATTCCGTTTTTTAATCTAGGGGTTATTTAGAAAAGTACTATTTAACTCCCAAATATTTTGGAAGTTTCCTTCCCCCCCCCCCTGTTTTTGATTTTTAATTCAATTATTAACTCTGGAGGAGGGAAGACTTCATAAAGCCAATTGCATTTCAGTTCCAAGGATGAATGAAGTCTCCAGGCAAAAAGCTGTTGGTGAACCAACATTTAACTGGTAAAGGGCAGGGAAGAGAAGGGAAGGACTTTCCAGGTGGGGAGACCAAGCACAGGCTTGAAAGTGCATGTGCTTAGTGCCAGCAAGGTGTTCAGTGTGGCTGGAGCAAAGGAAGTGTAATTTGTGTCTTCTTTCTTTTTTTTCTTGGTCAGCGTAGCTAAATTTTGTTACTTTAGTTGATCTTTTCAAAGAACCTATTTTGCTTCATTGATTTTTCTCTACTATTGTTTGTCTTTTCTATTATGTTGGTTATGAAGGAGGTGTAGTGGGGGTAGAGAAGAAGTCATGGACATGATGTAGAAAAGATAGTGTAAAAGGTTCCCTGGTGTTCAATTCCAGCTTCACTCTTCAAACCCTCTTCTGAATAGTTTCTCATTTTCTCTGAGCCCAAGGATCACAGAGGAGGGATGTTTTCTCAGGATATTCTTGGCTGAGCACCAGTACCACGGACACAGATGTTGGAAAAATAAGACTTGAGCAAGAGGTGACTGGTGGCTCTGCTAATTACTTTTCTAGGAGCCTAAAAAGGACTGTCACTATGAGATGGTCATATAGAACCTATTCATTGTGGGCAGTGGGGACCCTGAGATTGAGGTGGCAGCAGGGGTAGGGCCCTAAGACTGATTTATTGATTCCTCTATCATACAATTAAATTAGAGGCCAGAAGCTGTCTTCCCAACAGGTCTTAGCATCTTAGCAGGGTCTCTGATTGCAGGGGGCTGCAAGCTCTTTCCCCAATCTCACCCTTATGGTGTGGGCTCTGCTAGACATGAGGGAGGTGAAGGCAATCCCTGAACTTGGTCTACAAAACACCTAGGACAGACTGACGTCACCTCTATAAGAAAGTGGCTCCAGGTTGCTCAGTGACTTCAGAGAGTGAAGCATGGAAGGCAGAGTGTGTTCCAGAGCCAGGAAAACGAAATCAAATCTCCCTTAGAACTCCCCACGGTGCCCTTCCCCTCACTGCCTCTCTTCCTCCTCATTCCTTGGCAGGCTGACCCTCCCCACCCACACTTCTTTGGTTTTCCTTTTAGTAAAAACTGAAAAAGCATGTCTAATACTCAACAACCCATAGGGCAGTGACCATTCCTGACTAATTAGTAAGCTGCCTCTAGCCGCTCAGCCTTCACACCCTGCTGAGTCTTGAAGGGTGTGTATTCTTCTGGCAGGACTGAACTCCCTGATGGGTGGGCCACGCTTTCTGGCTGGTGGCGACACTCACATTCCTCATCTCCCCATGACTCCCACCCATCCTTCACTCTAGGGACTCAGTGCAAATACTGCTCCCCTTGAAGCCTTATGTTCTCATAGGAAGTGTCCTCTCCCTTCTCTGAGCACCTTCAATTTTTATCTGCCCTTTTTTAATGCACTTACCACTTTCTCCCTTAATGTAAGATGAATTGTGTCCAGTTATCTCCACTAGACCCTAAGCTCTGTGAAGGTCAGATTCTAAGCAGGATTCTGTATTTCACACAAGGCTGAGCCAGTAGTTGCAATTAATGGATGAAGAAATGCTTGGGAAGGAACTCAGAAGAAGGTTACAGAAAAGTGAACTCCCAGGGCCTTCAGGGACAAGGCTGTCATTCACTGTATGTCTTGGCATCTCGTCTCACATCAGAAAGTTCAAAGGAAAAAATACAGTAACAATGATGGCCATTTGGGAACCCATTTATATTGTAGGTGTAACTTTGGGCTTCGTCCAGCCCCATACCAGCCCCTGAGTCTGCATCAGACCGTCTGAACATTCATGGCTTCCTTGGGCCAAGTGTAGCTGTCCAGCGTAAAGGAGTCATAATCTGGAGTGTAGACCAGGGATCTTACAAAAGCCTCCTTGTCCTTGGGCTCTGGGTAGTAGGAAGCCAGGTTGTGTTTGTACGCGTAGTCAAGGACCTAGGGAAAAACATTTGGCTGAGGAACTGGATTTAAGGGGAAACCTGCCCAAAGGCCCTTTCTTGGGAGCCTGGGGAAATGGAATATACCTTGAGGAGCAAGATTGGTCCTCTCATGAGTGTGGCCCATGAAACCACTGGGTAGGAAGGATTTTAAGCTTTCTGCCCAGACAGCTGTGGCAAAGTGGAGTAAATACTAGGCCAGGGTCAAGAGGCCCCAGCCTAAATTCTTCCTGCCCCAACTGCCTGTGGATCCTCAGAGGTAACATTGTCCTTGCTGAGCCTCAGTTTCTTCATCTGTAAAGTGGGGATAATGAGACCTTTCTCTAAGGTGGTGTGAGGATAAAATTAGGTAACAGGCAAAAGCGTCCAGTATCTGATATTTTTTGACACCTTGAATATGAATTGAATTGGACAAACAGCATGGACCCTGTTCTCTGGGTACTAGATTTGGCTTCAGATGAGTGTGAATATAAATATTCCAGAAAGGAAGGAACTGGACAAGGTGAAGCTGGGCCAAGAGCTGGACTGTTAGTCTTGAGGCCTGATTCTGGATCCTGTACTGGATAACTCATAGGGAGTGCATGCTGATGTACAATGCATTTTCTGAAATTATTTTTAAAACTTACTATAGGAAATGTAAAACATATACACTAATAGAAATAATAGTATGATAAACCCTTATGTACTCATTATGCAGCTTCAATAATTATCAATGTTGAGCCAGTCTTTATTGCACCATATTCTGAAACCTATCATCTTTGTGTAATCGCATGGTGTGGACTATTACATGAACCTGATCATCCTATGGCCCAGCCATTCTGAGAGAAAGAGGAAGAGTGAGATCTATTCTAGCCAGGCAGGCACTGCATGTGAAGTATTCTCTTTTAATCTTCTCCAGAACTCTGGTAGAGAGGAATTACTGGACTGTTGGAAAAAGAGAAAACTGAGGCTCAGGGAAATGAAGTGATTAGGCCAAGGTTACACTGCTGCTGATTGGCAGAGCTGGGACCCTGAAGCCTGAGCTCTTTTCATGATGCTATGCTAGCTGACCTTTCTTATAAATTGGTACTTATGACTCATTAAAAAAAAATTCCACCCACATTCTGGTCCACAAGATCATGGACTTTGATGACCTTACTGCTTGGCCTTTGAGGGGAAACCCAGGAGCTTTCCCAGAACTGGCCTGGGTGGGATTTGGGGGGTGGGGGCCAAAGCTTCAGGCAGGCAGGAGTTTGTCACACAGCCCCTGGGTTGCATGCAGTGCAGCCCAAGGATGTCTGCACTGCTGCCACCTCCTTAGCCCTCCTAAAGTCACAGACAGAGAAAGTGGTTGAGCCTCACTACCCATACTACCCAGGTAGGATGCCCCTTACTTTGATGGCAATTCTCAGAGACACGTCTCGGATGGTGCTGAGTGGTGGGTACAGTCTTCCCTGGGACAGATGCTGCTCAGAGACCTCCTGGGCAATTTGCTGGGGAGAGGGAGAGAACCAAGAGAAATAAGCTGAGTTTCTGCCTTCCCAGAACAAGCCCAACCCTAGAGACTCACCCTGCCCCAGCATAGTTGGTCAAACGCTGCGGTTCCCGCTGTCGACTCTGCCTCCACATAGGCCCCAGAGAGCTTAATGCTTGGGCTTAAGCAAGGACACATCCTTTCTATACTGGGAGCCTAGCTGAGACTTAAAACAACATGAGGGGCTCTGAATTCTAAAGGAAAATGACTAAAACCAAGATGAATAAACTCATGGCCTGCAAAGCAAAGGCTATGCGATCTCTTCTTGGCTGGCCCAGCCTGTTGCACAGGGATCCCTGGGTCCCTCACTTCCTGGGTCCCAGTCTCCTCCCACATGCTTGGCACCTACCATCCCGGGTACCCATCTAGGCAATGTTATGTCTTTGCGTTCAGGGCTCCTTGAGCTCTCTTTTCCAGTCCCAATCTGAGGAAAACCTCTCCTCCAGCGAGTGAATGTATCTTATGCCTTATCTGGACAAATGCCCTAAGCACATCATCCTGGGAGCAGAACCTTCCACAGCTTCCCTCCCAAGTTCAGAGTCTGCCTCTGAGGGTCAAGCCTTATCCTTTGCAACAAGCCTCGTCCTCTAGCCTCAGGTGCTGGTGCTCAGCCAGCCTCGCAGATCAGCCTCTTTAATGTGGTCGATTTGAATCTACTCCTACCCAATATTCTGGTATCCAATTTAAATTTGGGAGACATCACTGGTGCTCTCTGAAAACTGTGTGTCCCAGAAGTGACAATGCCAAGGAGTTGGTTTTGTCTCAGAGTTTGCAGACATTAGGCAAGTGGGCCTCCCCATCTACTGCCTCCTTCTCACACTCCCATCTCTCTTTTCCATTCATTTGGTCAGACATTTACTGAGCTCTACAATATGCTCGGCTCTAAGCTAGGTGTTGAGGATCCATATGGTTAAGCAGCCATAGTCTTTTCTTTTTGGAGACTGCTGTCACTGCACAATTAACACAGGATTATAACAATTACAACACAGCAGGTGAGTGCAATGAGAACAGACATACAGGCATAGAGGAAGGCAGGGCCCTGTCTGCCATGAACAGGAGAGGCTTCCTGAAATGTCATAGGCTGATATCCAAAGGCAAAGTATGAATTACTTGAAAAGGGGAGAGGCAATAGCACATGCAAATGCCTGGAGGTGAAAGAGAGCAAGAGAGAGCATGGACTTGAGATTGAAAATAACACATTGGCTAGACTGATGGTAGGGAGAGGCTAAAAAGTGAGGCTGGAGAGGAAAGGAGTCCCTGTGATGAAGTACCTTGTATGGAAACCAAAGGAAGGAGTTTGGATGTTGTCCTGTAAGCGCCAAGGAGACATACAAAGCTCTGAATTTAGGAGAGAAACCTGGCCTGATATGTGTTCTGCAGAATTGCCTCCCTTTGTGGAGGTATAGCAGGTATAGCAGATGGATTGATTAGAGAGGAGTTCCATGGCTAGATCTGCATCTAGGAAGCTTATCCTGTGAAGAGATACTTCATGGTCATTTCTGAGGTGTTGGGCACTGGTCATGCTCTGCTGCACATGTAGTCAACTTGCCTGGGGCCATCCTGGCGCTGTCACACACAAGCCAAGTGACCTTAGGTAAGTGACCTAAACTCTCTGTGCCTCACTTTCCTTGTCTGTAACATAGGAATAAACACTATACCTATTTTATGGAGTTGTTAAGATAAAATGAGGTAGTGCGTGTAAATCTTCTTAAAGCCTATAGTAATATTCCACAGGAAAATAAAATTCAACTTAAATTATCTTAATTAAAAATGCCCTTTTCAGAAATATAACTTGTCAGACCTTTGAAGAGCAGACTATCAGCTCCTATAGGAGAGGGGGCTTGTCTCACTCATAGCAGGTGCTTAATAAGTAGATCCAGGAGAAGTTTCTGTGTAATTGATGGACACTGTCCATGAAATGATGGAGTCGAACTGTCTCACAGCACTGGAGGTGGTGTGTGTGCGGCTGTCTCAGGGGATTGTATAGGAAGGGCTCTAGCAACTGTGTTTCTGCACAACAAGGGAATTTGCTTTCGGGCTGACTTCAAGCAGGAAATGACTCTTCCCACCCAATGGGGGTTTCAAACAGCTCTGCCCATATCCACAGGACAAGAACACCCATTATAGCAGTGAGAAGAAATCCAAACACAGAATACTCAGACAAGAGGAACAGAGAGCTGTGGCACAAAGTCATAGCTAGTGTGTGTGGGGTTGGGGGCCAGCCGAAAAGCCTTCAGGAGATATTATTCGCACTGCCTTGCAGAGCCAGGGCTCAAAGACCAGACATAGTAAGAAGGGGCCTGGTGCATGAGGCAGTTGTTCCCTGTGGGCCTCACAGAAGGGGATCCAGACAGGGCTGTCTGGAAGCCGTACCATGGCTGGTTGGTTTCAGGCTCTCACCAGTGCCACGGTGAGGAGGAAATGCAGAAGGATGTTAGAAGTCACAAGAGAGCCTTTAGAGCTCGTTGAGTATAAATACATGTAACATTTGTATATAGCTTAGATTAACTTCTCTCAATAGAGACATTTGTATGCCTTGGTTTCCTTAGAGTGACAATAAATTTCAAGTGCCTGGCACTTAGAAACCACTTGATAATGTCAGCCACTGTCACTGTTATAAATAACCATTATTATGAACATGGGCTGCCATTCTTAATGAAGTCTTTCATGATTTTCATTGTGTCCAGTAAAGAACCCTTCCAGGAGCTCTTGCAGTCAGATACTGGAACAGGCACAACTCTAACACCCCCATGTGGGTGCTCAAGGCTGGGTACTCAGAGTAGGCAAAACCAGGCATGCAACCCCACCTGCTACAGAAAGCTGTCCTAGTGGGGCTTACTGCCACTGGTTACCCCAGTGATTTGATCAAGACCTGTAGCTTAAAAAATCTATCACCTGTCATGGCCCACAAGCCCCAGTTTCATGTGGCTTTGTTGGTATCTCCTTTGTCTAGGCATCCAGATAGCACTGCTGGGAGGCAGGGAGCAGCAGGAGGTATGTCCCCGCACTGCCAGAGCCTCCTGCCCACACCCCCTCCCACTGACTAGTCTCCACCCGCCTCCAAAGCCCTGCGTATGATTGAAGAGGTCAAGTCTCAAGGTGATCTTGAGAGATGCCTGAGGTTCAAGCACTCTGGCATCCATTGCCAGGGTTGGGGTGCAGGTGGGTAGAAAAGACAAGAGAGGAAGCATCTTCAGAGATTGGGCAGGGGACCCAGAGCCAACCCACAGGTTCTATGGGAAGCATTTGAGGGAGCAGGGACAGTGATACCTCTGCCGTTAGGAGGAAGATCTCATCTGGGATGTGCCGGATCCCGCCGGCGATGACTCCCAGTGCCACGCCAGGAAACACGTAAGCATTGTTCCCCTGTCCAGGAATGAAGGTCTTGCCATTTTCCAGAGTTACACTCTTAAAAGGACTTCCACTTGCAAAAATCCCTCGGCCCTGGAGGCAGGAAGAAAAACCACAAATGGAGCTTGGAGAGTGGTTTGGGGAAGTAATGGTGACCTGTTCTTATCTCCCAGAAGTCGAACCTTCCTTCATCCTCTCCCAAATGCCCAGCATTGTGCTGAGAACATGGCAGGTACTTAAAGCACATTTGTTCATTTGAACAGAAAGCTCAGCCTCCACCTGAGTTACCTGGTGGCCAAGAAATGGCTGAAAGGTGATGGGGTTCATGGTACCTTTTTACCTGTCACCTCCTGGGAAGGCCAGCCCAGGACATGACAGGTGCAAAAGCGGCCCAGAGTCTACTAGTGCCTCAGGTTCTGGGTTCTGGTCAGAGCTCTGTATTATTTAGGAGGAACCTGGAACAGTATAGCATAATGGTAAGATCTTGGACTTTGGAGTCAGACCTGGGTTTGAGGGCCAGCTCCGCTCCTTATTAGCTCTGTGACCTTGGGCAAGTCACTTAATCTTTCTGAACCTCAGTTTGCTCATCAGTGATGTGGGGATTTTTTTCACCCTCATAGGGTTACTAGTTGTTACTGTGTCCTCTCAGCCGGGGGAAGGAAGGACTCCCCGCTGACCTCGGTGACCCGGTAGCACTTCTCAGCCGTGCACTCGGCCTTGCTGGTGGGGTTGCTCAGGGCAAAGATGATAGGGCGCTCGTGGAAGGAGGCCATGTCCCTCAGAATCTGCTCCGTGAAGGCTCCTGCGATGGCGGCAACACCTACAGGGAAAAGGGGGGTAGTGGGGATGCCTACCCTTTATAAACAACCGATTCCTCTCCTGGTGGTGGGGGGAGCCAGGCACACCATGAAAAACTCAGTAGTCTTGGGGATGGCAGCTGCCATAGGGATGGAGGGAGCAGAAGGGAAAAGGGTCTTTCTGCCTGAGCTGCCTGAGATCTCCTGTCCATCTTTAAGGGACCACTGGTCCAGCTCTGGTCCCTGCCAGTTAAGATGCACCTGTGAAGCCATTCCTGGGCATTGCCATTGGGAGTGGGCTATGCCCCCAGGACAGGCAGAGACACCAGGGTCCCCGCCTTGGGGGAGGAGTGGTCATCTCATCCTGGCTAGAGAGACTAACCCTGTGCTTTTCCACTACACCGTATGATTCTGCATCACTCAGCCCTAACTCTGGGGCCTTAGTTCTATGGTTTTTATACAGTAGTCACTCAGTAGAAGTTTGTGGCATTGAATTGGACATGGGATGGGGGAAAGAGCTGTGTCTCCTTGGGTTACTTATGCCTCCTCGCTGAGCCTCAGTCTCTCCATCTGCAAGTCAAGAGGGTTAGCAGGGCTGGACAGGGGGTCACCTCCTCCCTCCTACCTATGATGGCCGTGGGCTTCACCAGCCTCACCACCTCCTCCAGGGAGTTCACTTCAGGATGGTCTTGGGCAAACATCTCCTTCTCATGGTTCAGGTGGCTCCTCCCCTGTAGGAAAAGAAGGAACACAAAGCAGCTATGGTGGGGAGGGTCTGCTGGGCAGGGGGTATGGACGCATTTGGAAACTTTGAGAGCATTACCCACTGAGCCACATGCTTTGGTCTGAGCTGTCAGAAGCCTTGGGGCCTCTTCTCTAGATCAGATTTCCTGATAGAACCTAAAGTGGCACCTATGTGTTTTTAGGTGTGTGTGTGTGTGTGTGTGTGTGTGTGTTTCTTTAACCTAAACCTAACCTGAACCACATATGGAGAATCCACAAAGAATTTATTTGAACTGCTGGGGTCATGGCTTTCTGGGCCAAGACAGAAAGGCTCTCGGGAAATGTCCAAGACCCTTGACCCCAAGGTGTTCAGCACCCAGGCCCAGTTGAGGGATGAGGGCCTGAGCCGCCCTGGGTCAGGGAGTTAATTTGAATGTACTTAAAAGAGCCATTAACTCCCTGTGAATAATATTAAGCTAAGCTCCAGGAAAGGCTTAGCATGGCTGGCTATGCCCAGCCTGCTCCAGATTCCTTCCATTTCTTTAAATAGAAGTTGGTGGGTGACAGGCTGGCATGACTGTTGGTAAATAGGTACAGATGTTTCCAATCACTCCTCTGGGTTAGCTGACCTCATGAGAACCAGAGTGAAGATGTCAGCTCTGAGAGCCCCTTGGGAAGGGATGACCTTGATGAGGCAAGCAAAATGATATTGAAAGATGGGCGAGAGGGAAGAGTGGCAGCCTCTGGTAGCCTATACCTGGGACTGGATTATGCTCTGGAATGACGTGGGGTGGAAGGAGGAGGAATCTCTAAGCCTACTAGGTTCTCTCTAGCAGTATGGAACAATAGGAAGGTCAGTTTCCACTAAGGGTCTCTGCTATTCTAGGTTGATGGCCCCAGGTATTTCCCCTGTTCCCATCTCTGCCATTGATTTTTTTTATCTCTCGCTGACATTCTATGTTAGTGGGATTCTTGGAGTTAAAGCATGGAGCTCTGAGTGAAGCCCTAAGGATGAGGTCATCCAATTGTGTCCCTCACCACATGCTAGTCAGAAGCTGGACTGTTTCTCTTTCACTCATCCTTTCACTCATACTTCACACATTAATTATGTACTTGCCATGTGCCAGGCATTGACATAAAGACTCTGTAGTCCAGTGAGGAGACAGACGAGTAAGGGGCAACTGCCCTACAATGTGATAAGTGCAATGTATGGAGGGTGGGGAGCCTATGTGAGCACAGATGCAGGAAATGAGCTTCTTGGAGAAGGTAACATTTGAGCTCAATCAGGATATGAGGAGGAAACTGGGAAGGAGTTGAGGATTAAGAGTTGACGTGTGGCAAAAGGGAAAGAGTATTTCAAGTAGAAGAACAAAATGTGCACAGATGTGGAAGAGAGAGAGCATGTTACTTTTGGAGAACTATGATGTAATGTGGATGGAGGTTAGTGCAAGGCAGGAAGTGGTGGGGGATAAGGCTGGAAGGGGCACACGCACATTCTCACATACATATGCAAAACTTCTGGATGAGAGCATTTAAGGATACTTAGGGATGAGTCTTTTGCTTTGGAGTTTAGATCATTGCCCTCCTTTTGCTCTCTCTTCTGTCTGAGCAGTTTATCCCCTGGAGACCTCTTCCAGTCCAGTTCCTGGGAGCTGTAGGTGTCAAGAAACCTCCATGTCTCCAGCCTGACAGTACCTTGACAATGAGCCCCTTGGAGTCCACCATCCAGATCTTCCTCGTGGCTTCTGCTTTTGGTACACCTTCTTTCTCTAGGGCCATAACAAGGAGCTGGGCGATGCCCATGGCTGCCTGGGAGGTACCATAAAGAAAATGTTCAGACAAAGGGCAAACATCAGCTCAGCACTTATCAGATGTCTCACCAAAATGAGCCCCTCTTCTTTCCCCCATCCCTACAACACCCAGGAGGCCCAGTTAAATCCTTGCCTTGAGACACCCCAATGTGGGGGTTTAGGTAGCTGCAATAATGAAAACACTCCTGTGCTGCTTCCTCCTCTCAGAACCCCAGGGCACCTCCCCTCCTTGATACACTTCTACCCATTCTTATTCTACCACTGGAACAAGAGTATAGACCCCCGATGGCACCTACCTCACCTGCACCTTGGAAAACAAACACATGATTGGAGAGCTTGTTTTTGGTGATTCGCAGAGCAGCCAGGATCCCTGCCACAGCCACAGAGGCTGTGCCTGCAACAGAGTGGACAGAGATCACCCGCTGGCCACTGTCCCCCAGGCCCCAGGAGAAAACCCTCAGCAGACTTCCCCATGCCTAGGACCTGCAGAGGAATCGGCAAAGACATTAAATGATCATGTGGCCTGAGCTGCCCATCTGATCCACCAAGTCAGAAGGTTGGGTGTGACTGGTAGCAGACCATCATCAGATGGCTCGAGTATGTGTGGAGGGACAAGTAAATTGCATGAGTAGGTGGCTCAGACTCATTTGAGCACTGCTGCATGACTTCTTCTCCATTAATTTACATCTAAGGCCTCAATGAAAATTCCTTAAAGCCACCTGACCAAGAAGAAAGAAACTTGGGCTTGGTTTAGAAATTGTTCTGAATGATGTGCTGGCACCAACTAGAAGTGCAAGGTTGCAGTTTCACATCCCCAGTAAAAGGTAGCTCTAAAGGGTAATGGTGAAGGACAGTTGACTTCAAGTGGTCAATTTCATTGTTCACTTTGGTCCAGGGGATGGCTAGATCTACACTGATACATGGAAAGTTGTTAATGGTTTAGCTATATGGTCAGAGACTTGGAAAGAACAAAATAGTAAGATTGGTGTTGAGGAGGTCTGGGAAAGGGGTGGTGTATAGATCTCTTGGAATAGGTAGACAGTGTGAAGATGTTTGTGGCCTATATAAAGATCACCAACGGACGTAATGAGAACAGGCTCTCAATAAGCAGGTGGACAAAACAGCATGACCTGTGTATGTCAGACAGCATTTTTCTCCAGTCACCCAAGGTTTGCTCAGTGGGCTTACATATAAAAATAGCCATGGTTGCAAGGATGGAAGCTATGCATGGACTTTCTCTCATCAAGGCTGATCTGTTACTGCTACTGCTTAAATAACTGACCTGGCAATGGGGTACCATTCCCTGGGGAGACACCACCTAGTGGCAGGATGATTACATTGGACTCCGTCCATCATAGACAGGAAAGAGATCTGTCCTCACAGGAGTAGATACATATTTTGGATATGGATTTTTATCCTTGACTATAAAGCTTCAGCCAACACCATCATCTGTAGATGCTTGGAATGCCTATTCATCATCTTGATACAGTCCAGACAACAAGGCTTCTAATCAAAGAATTCATTTCACAGTAAAAGAAGTGAAGCAATAGGCCCAGGCCCATGAAATTCACTGGTCTTAACATGTACTCAACCACTAAGGAGCAGCTGGCCTAACAGATCAGCAGGATGGCCTATGGAAGACTTGCCTAAGATTTGAGTTGAGGCAACACCCTACAGAGATGCTGAGCTTCTATCTTACAGAATGCAATATATGACTTGACTTAGCAGATAGAACATTGTGTCCTTTCTCCCACAATCAGAATAATGGGTCTGGAAATCAATTGGTAGAAGTGACAGTAGCTCCTCTCACCATTTCACCTTATAACCCATTTGCAGAATTTCTGCTTCCTGTCTCTTCCCGTTTATACTCTTCTCAATTGGAGGTGTTAGTTCCCAAGAGAAAAATACTTTCATTAGGATTCATAACATGGTTCTATTAAATTGGGAGTTGAAACCGCTACCTGGCCAGCTGAGGCTCTTTTGCCACTAAATCAGTGGCAAAGAAGAGAGTTAATTTTTTGGCTATGGCAATTCATTTAGATATCCAAGGGGACAACGGGGACAGGGAGGACTATTTCTGAAGCCTAAGGGATCTTCTGGGGTGTGTCTCAGTACTTCCAAGCTCAGTAGTAAATATTAATGTTTACTATTGCAACTAAGGAAAGTCAGGACCATTGAGGATTCAGAGCCTTCAGAATGAAGGTTTGGGCCACCATACTGGGCAAAGAATCTTGTCCAGGTGAGGTTCTGTCTGAGGACAAGAAAACATGGAATGAGAGGTTAAGGAAGAAAGCTATCAATATAAATATCAACTGTGGTCTCATGACTGGTTACAGAAACGAGGAAATTAGCAGCCATCCATATTTTCTTCCTTGATTATTATTTGACAATATATAATGGCATATATTACCTAATTTTTTCTCCCTTCTCCTTCTCATTGTCTTATATAAGTTTATTGGAGGTTAATTCTGCATTTTAGTCTTTAGGTAACATAATTTTCAAATGTGACTGTGACTGATTTTTATGAGTAGCTAATCTTGTCCAGAGATGGAGAGTGTGTCTATCTTCCAAAGGGGAATAAAAGGACTGTTGAGACTTTGCCTTTCCACATTTTGGGGAGAAGGTGAGACTATCTTCATTTGTTGGAAAGACAGTTGCATTTTGCTAGGCATTTTGTTAGAGTTGTTTTTGTTATGTGGAAGTACACATGTGGAACAGTGTGTATGAATGCTGAACAGCCAAAAGGGTGCACTGTGCCAATTATTGGGTAATTTTTTCTCAGCTTCAAATCCACCCTTCTTTATACTGCTTTGTCTGCAAAGCACTTTTCAGCTTTGCCAACTGGATATATGCTGGGCTTTGCCAATAACGGGTGCTAGAGGGAGACAAAGACTGGATGAGGGGAAAGGATGATTTTTTTTTTTCTGGCATTGCCTCAGCCTTATAGGATTACCAGGTAAAATGTAGAACACTTAGTAAAATATGAATTTTAGATATACAACAACATTTTTTTTTTTAGGATATGTCCCATGTGATATTAGCATAAATTCTTTCTTTTTTTTTTTTTTGAGACAGAGTCTCACTCTGTTGCCTGGGCTAGAGTGCCGTGGCATCAGCCTAGCTCACAGCAACCTCAAACTCCTGGGCTTAAGCTATCCTCCTGCCTCAGCCTCCCGAGTAGCTGGGACTACAGGCATGTGCCACCATGCTTGGCTAATTTTATATATAATATATATTATTTTTTTTTTTTTAGTTGTCCAACTAATTTCTTTCTATATTTTTAATAGAGATAGGGTCTCCCAGCTAATTTCTTTCTATATTTTTAATAGAGATAGGTCTCGCTCTTGCTCAGGCTGGTCTTGAACTCCTGAGCTCAAACGATCTGCCTGCCTCAGCCTCCCAGAGTGCTAGGATTACAGGCATGAGCTACCACACCTGGCCAGTGTAATATTCTGCAAAATTATTTGTTATTTATTCAACATTGAATTTAACGGGGTGTCCTGCATTTTGGTTTTGCTAAATTGGCAACCCCACAGCCTTGGCTCTCCAACTCCACAGTAGCAGTTTGTTCCTGAAGCAGCAGTTGATTACGGTTTGTAGTTCGTGTATTACTTAGAGAACTAGCTTCACAGCATGCCCCTCAGTGACACCAACACCAGCCAACTGCCACCTCCTCTTTTCTTTGTTCCCTCAGCCTCAGGTGTGGTAGTAGATCCTTTGTGGGTTTTTTTGGCTCTTTAATTCTTTAATACATAATTAAAAATTCTTTTTATTAAGTTTTCTCTGTTAGAGCAACTGGTATTGACTCTGACTGATATACAGTTCACAGCAAAGTCACCACAATTAGCAATGTTAAGCCTCCACAATGGTAAAAGGAAAAAAAGGAAATTAAAGTGGGATAATTTATGGCTTGTTAAATTTGCACAAACTAAAATATTGATGCATCTAGGGTTGGTGAGGGAACAGTGCAAAGTAAACAGATCCAGCATACTTTGCATTTTGAAAAGTGCTACATTCTCTTTTGGAAAACTATTTCCCAGTATAGACCAAAGGCATAAAGTGTTTTTGCCCTTTGACCTCATACTTCTACTTCTGGGAATCTATGTATGGAAAAATCCAAACTGTGTATACTGGATATTTATGACAGTTTATTTATAATACTGAATGACTGGAAAGAATCTAAACACCTAACAAAGGAGTAATTGTTAAGTAAATTATCTAGTGTAGATACTCAGTAGAATATTTTGCAGCCATTAAAAATGATCATTATGAAGATTATGTAGCAACATGGAAAATGCTATGAAGTTAGTAACATCAGATATTGTTATAAGTGTCTTAATGTCAAGACATTTATTTATCTAATCCTCACTATTATCATTCTCATTTTACAGGCTGGGAAAATGAGGTAGAGAGCAATTTGCTGAATTGCCCAAGATCATATAACAGAGCTGGGATTCAAATCCAGGGAATCAGCCTCTAGGAGCTTGTGGGCTAAACCACTAAACTATACTCCATTGAGTTGGTTGGAAGGAAGAGAACCATAAACGGCATACATATCATGATTCTAATTGTAATGTAACACACACACACACACACACACACACACACACACACACACACACAATCCAGAAAGAACTTTAAAATATGAATGGTTGCAGGGTAGGTGTGTCAGTTTTCCAGGTGGCTTGTTTTTTGCTACTCTGGGATGGGCTTTCTCCTAGAAAATGGATTGGGTTTGTGCTTGGCTTAGGGGCTAAGATAGGGGGCACAGTAAACAGTTGGAGTCCAAGAAGCACATTCATCACTGTGGACATCAGAAGGCAGGACTCTAAGCAGGAAGACACTAGCTAGAAGATGGGGTGCAGGCTCTCGTGTGTTCACACAGCTGTGGCCCGAAGAGACGACTGAACTGTCAGCAGAGTCACAGAGGCAGGGCTGAGGACTACAAGGACTTTCTAACATCCTTCTGTGGGTCCCCCGAGTGCTCAGTGTGCATTTGCTGAGGGCTTACCAGATGACAGAGACCATACCAGGCACTTTGGAAGACAGATGAATCACACATGGTCTCTGCCATGAGGAAACACCCAGTTTAACCAAGGTTTAGGCATAAAAAACTATAACACAATTGATAGTCAGAAGTCACTGGAAATTATTGCATTCATTTATTTTTTGAGCATTAATTAAGAACCAGACTCCGGGGTACTGAGGAAACCACTGGTAACAAAATAGACTAGGTTCATGCCTCTTCATAAGGTAAGAAGTTATTACATGATTATAAAGAATTTCATGACATGCTCTTTGTTAGTTTATGTACAGAAAAGTGTATTATCAGTATCAACCCACTCTTGCAGCTTCATGCTTTCCTGTGTACTCTATGTACTAGTAGCATTATTC